CCATGGTTCTGCTATTCATACTCAGTCTGTACAAATGCATTGTTTCTTTCATGATCACTCTCTTTGCCTTTTCTTTCACGGTTTGTTTGGCATTTAATCTCTCCCACCCTCCACTGTAACCTAGAACCTCCCCTTTTGTTCTTCCCTTTCACCATCCTTTCATACAAACATATGGTTCAGGAGCACGAGTAGGCCATTCAGCCCCTCAATCCTGTTCTAACGTTCAATAAGATCAAGACGGATCTGTTTGTGTTCTGAATTCCACAGTATAAGCCCCGTCACACTTCTACCTCCTTCAGTTCTGATGAAGCATCATCCTCAACTTGAAACTTTTCCTCTCCCCAGGCCTGCTGAGTATTTCCAGCAATTGTTGTTTTTATTTCACAGTGTTGCATTTAAACTGGAAGTGATGAATGGGGCTGGGTATGGTGGGTATGATGGGAGGTGCATTTAACTTTGATCTGTGTCCTGTTCTTCTGAGCCAAAGTGCTGAATATCACTCTGCTTCAGACATTGGCACCACTGAGAGTGGTGAATACTGCAGGTATTGTTTTTTAACGCAGTGAGTCTATCATATCATTGCCATTACAACAACTTTACCAGTTAGTGTCAGAAGTGAGGGCTGTATATTTTAACTTTGCAAGTACTGAATTTGAAGCAGAATTTCCAACAAGCAAGAGATTTAAACCATGGATGTAAATACTTTCTGGGAAACAGAATAAGTTCGATACTGATTGACCGGATGGCAATATTGTTCAGAAAGCCATACCTATGAAAGAAGCTCCCACTATAACAGCGTTCCTGTCGTTGGCCAGCTTTGCGATGCAGTTTGCGTCCTCAGGAGTCCTGAGTTGGTACACGTTCTCCAGGTCTGCTCCTTGGCACAGAAGTGGTTTGGGCCTGAAATATGAGGAATGAGGCAGTGACTCTGGCGATGTGGCCTCCACGTGGTGAGACGAGAGCAGGAAGGTAGAATTAAGCTCTTCGCTGACTGGAACAGATATGTGGGGCCAAATGGCCTCCTCTATTATCGAGACATTGCTCTGATTTCGATAATGATTTCTATAATTTCTTATAATGTTTCTGTATGGTGTCCCTCCTCAATTCAAAGACAAAGCCACACAGAAATCAAAAAAGGACTGGACTATCCTCCCCTTAACACATTCATCCTTCAGAATGAGGTAAACATCAAATCCGTGTATCTCTTGTCCAATATAGGACAGCGGATTGTTATTTTAAAAATCATTGGTTAGGCCTCAGCTGGGTAGTGTCCAGTTCTCCTCACCACAGCTTAGGCCAATCTTTAAAAGAGTACGGTGGAGATTAACTATTAACAGTACCAAGGACAAGAAACCCAATGATGTGCAGATACTAAAGAAGCTGAGGGTATTTTGTTTAAAGAGGTTGGGGAGATATAATAGAGACAACATGAATGATCTGATAGAGTGAATGAGGAGAAATGCTATCCATTGGCATGTGAATTGGCAGCTAGATTTGAGGTTTAAGTTAAAACAAGCAGGGTGGAGAAAAAGAATTTTCTTTTTGCACAGTGTGTCTTTACAATTTGAAATGTCTTGTGATGGAAGCAAACTCAATAATAACATTCAAAGCAGAATCGGATAAATACTTGACAAGCTTGACTATGGTGAAACCACAACAGATTACTGATTGAGAGATAGTAAGGACTGCCAATGCTAGAGTCAGAGATAACACAGTGTGGAGCTGGAGGAACACAGCAGTCCAGGCAGCATCAGAGGAGCAGGAAAGCTGATGTTTTGGGTCGGGACCCTTCTTCAGAAATGGGAGAGGGGGAAGGGACCTCTGAAATAATTAGAGAGAGGAGGGGTAGGGCTGGGGAAGGTAGGTGGGATGGTGATAGGTGAGTGCAGGTAGGCAGTGCTGGGGATTGGTCAGTGAGGTGGGAGGAGCAGATAGGTGGGAGAGAAGATGGACAGGTTGTGTCAGCTCAAGGAGGCGGGGATGAGAGGGAGTGTTGGTCTTGGGATGAGGCCAGGGGTTGGGGAGATTTTGAAACTAGTTAAGTCCACAATGAGACCATTGGTTTGTAGGCTTCCAAGGTGGAATATGAGGTGCTGCTCCTCCCGTTTCCAGGTGGGATCATTGTGACACTGGAGGAGGCCCAGGATGGACATGTCACCCAGGGAGTGGGAGGGGGAGTTGAAATAGTTTGCAACTGCAAGCTGTTGTCGTTTGTCGTGAATCGAGCGCAGGTGCTGTACAAAGCGGTCTCTGAGCCTCCGCTTGGTCTCACCGATGTAGAGGAGGCCACATCAGGAACAGCGATACAATAGACCACATTGATGGATGTGCAGGTGAACATCTGTCTAATGTGGAAGGTTTTTTTGGTTTTTTGGATCGAGGTGAAGGGGGAGGTGTAGGGGCGGGTGTAGCACTTCCTGCGGTTGCAGGGAAAGGTGCTGAGGGTGATGGGGCTAGTGGGGAATGTGGAGCAGATGAGGGAATCGCGGAGAGCGCGGTCCCTATGGAAGACAGATAGGGGTGGGGAGGGAAATATATCCTTCGTAGTGGGCTCAGATTCCAGGTGGCAGAACTGGTGGAGAATGATGCGTTGAATCCGGAGGTTAATGGGGTGATATGTGAGTTCAAGGGAGGTTCTTCTTTTTGTTGCGGGGATGGGATGTGAGGGCAGAGGTGCAAGAAACGCAAGAGATGCAGTCAAGAGCATTTTTGACCACTAAAGGGGTCCTTGAAATACGAGGATATCTGGAATGTTCGGGAGTGGAACGCCCCATCTTGGGAGCAGACGCGGCAGAGGCGGAGGAATTGGGAGTAGGGGATTGCATTCTTGCAGGAAGGTGGGTGAGAGGAGGTGTAGTCTAGGTAGCTGTGGGAGTCGATGGGCTTGAATTAGATATCAGTTTCAAGGTGGTCACCAGAGATGGAGACAGAGAGATCCAGGAAGGAGAGAGAGTTACCAGAGATGGTCCAGGTGAACTTGAGGTTGAGGTGAAAGGTGTTAGTGAAGTTGATGAACTATTCAAGTTCCTCGTGGGAGTATGAGGCGGCGCCAATACAGTCATCAATGTAACAGAGGAAGAGGTGGGGGATGGGGCCAGTGTAGCAGCGGAAGAGGAACTGTTCCATGTATCCTACAAAGAGGCAGGCATAGCTTGGACCCATGAGTGTTGCCATGGCCACCCCCTTAGTCTATAGGAAGTGGGAAGAATTGAAGGAGAAGTTGTTAAGGGTAAGGATGAGTTCAGTTAAGCGGATGAGGGTGTCATTGGAGGGGGACTGTTCGGGCCTGCGGGAGAGGAAGAAGCAGAGGGCTTTTAGGCCATCTGCTTGGGGCATACAAGTGTACAAAGATTGGATGTCCATGGTAAAGATGAGGTGTTGGGGGCCAGGGAATTGGAAGTCTTGGAGGAGGTGGAGGGCGTGAGTGGTGTCCTGGACGTAGATGGGGAGTTCCTGGAGCAGGGGGGAGAAAATGGAGTCGAGGTAAGCGGAGACAAGTTCAGTGGGGCAGGAGGAGGCAGAGAATAGGTGTCGGCTGGAGTAGTCGGGTTTGTGGATTTTGGGAAGGAGATAGAAACGGGCCGTGCGGGGTTTGGGGAATGATGAGGTTGGAGACTGTGGGCGGGAGGTCACCTGAGGTGATGAGGTTATGGATGGTTTGGGAGATGATGTTTTGGTGGTCAGTGGGGGTGGGATCATTTTCGAGGGGGCAGTAGGAGGAGATGTCAGAGAGTTAGCGCATGGCCTTGGCGATGTAAAGGTCAGTGCGCCATACCACAACTGCGCCACCCTTATCCACGTGTTTGATGGTGAGGTTAGGGTTGGAGCGGAGGGAGTGGAGGGCTGCACATTCTGTGGGGGAGAAGTTGGAGTGGGTGAGAGGGGTGGATAGGTTGAGGCGATTGATATCACGATGGCAGTTGGAGATGAAGAGGTCAAGGGAGGGTAGGAGGCCTTGGGGTGGTGTCCAGGAGGAAGGGGTGTGTTGGAGGTGGGAGAAGGGGTCAGTAGAGGGAGGGGTAGCCTCACGGTTAAAGAAGTAAGCGCGGAGGCGGAGGCGGCGGAAAAACTGTTCGACGTCCAAGCGTGAGCGGTATTCATTGATGTTCGGGTGGAGGGGGATAATTTGAGTCCTTTACTGAGGGCTGACCGTTTGTCCTCAGTAAGAGAGAGGTCTGGGGGGATGGTGAAGACTCGGCAGGATTTGGGGCTGGGGTTGGTTGTAGAATTGGTGGCTGTGGGGGTTACTGATTGGCTATGTCTAAGCATTGACAAGGACATAATGGGCCAAATGGATTCCTTTGGTGCTTGTAAGATTTTACTGGGCTGGAGGTGGGAGGGGAGTACTTTGACTTCCGAGAGCAGGAATTTGGGTCAAGTTGTAATGAATAATTTTCAACTTTTGAATCATGAATCCAAGCTTCTTGTCATTTCCAATCTTAACGCTGACAGGACAAGGGCAGGTGATGAACTCACCGGCAGGAAGCGAATCAGTTCCCGAAATCTTTGTATGAGGCTGTATGACATCTCCAGTCATAAACCCACCGGGCCAGGTTTCCCTGGAAAAGCCAGGAGGTGAGAAAGTGCTGATCAGAGTTTTCCCTAAGCTGTGTGGATGCATGTCCAAATAGCAGTCTGAATGTAACATTTGGGGAAAAAGCAGGTCACAGAACCGAATCAGTTCCTTTGGGTATACACAAATGCGGCTGCTCAACGCTCTTAGAAAGACCATGCAGTTCAATAAACAGTTGCCCGAACCAAAGTGCAATTAGAGGGACATTGCCTTGATCCATAAAGCTGTGAATTTACAGCACTGTTTGTGGGTCAGAAGTAAGAGGAGTGTTTACCACAAGCTCTCATGTAACTCCAAACCCTACAACTGGACAAACATTGCCAACTGCCTCAATCCCTATCCCACCTCCAAATCGCAATCTGTGATCACTGACCTCTCCAAGCTTCTCCGTCACCATCGTTTCACCCCTTGCAATCAGTTAGCTGTCTCTCCTCTCACAATCACAAACCCCTCTCTCTAATCATGGTTTGTCACAATCTCCCTGTAATCTCTACCACTTCCTCCTCCCGGCCTTGGGCAAGTCTCCATTTAGGTTGGCTTTCAGTAAAAGGAATGTGATGTGGACTTGAAACATTGCATCTTTCAGTAAAACGGTACCTCTGATTCCTGACCAGCCTATTCCACATCACTGCTCCAGTAAACTGAGGCAATAGTGTAGTACTTGTGTGAATGAACAGAGTGGACAGTAATTTTTAAAGCAGATATTAGTGTCTAGAGCTTCCAACTGGTATAGGGCTTTGGTTTGGGTGCACACTGTGTGTGATATCACAACCCCAACCCTGCCAGCTCTTAGCAGCCTGTCAAACATCATACTGATCAGAGCAAGATCCTAGTTCTCACTCCATCTTGTCTCGTGTAATTGCTGCAAAGCTCATACAAACAGAAAGTTGTAGAAGTTTGGAAAGTTCAATTAGGAGTGAGGTATATAAATGGGTGGTCATTGAGTCTTGAGTCATACAGCACAGAAACAGGACTTTTAGTCCAACTCGTTCATGCCAACCAGATATCCTAATCTGATTGAGTCCCATTTGCCAGCATTTGGCCCATATCTCTTTAAACCCTTCCTATTCATTTACCCATCCAGATGCCTTTTAAATGTTGTAATTGTACCAGTCTCCACCACCTCCTCTGGCAGCTCGTTCCATACACTTGAAAAAGTTAGCCCTCAGATCCTTTTTAAATTTTTCCCATCTCACCTTAAACCTATGCCCTCTAGTTTTGAACTCCCCCACCCTGGAGAAAAGACCTTGGCTATTCATCTTATCCATGCCCTTCATATTTTATAAATCTCAAGAAGGTCACCCCTCAGCCTCTGATGCTCCAGGGAAAATAGCCCAGCTTATTCAGCTTCTCCATGTAACTCAAACCCTCCAATCCTGGCAACATCCTCGTAAAACTTTTCTGCACCTTCTCAAGTTTAACAAGATCCTTCCTATAGAATTGTACTCAGTATTCTAAAAGTGGCCTCACCAATTTCCTCTACAGCCGCAACATAACCTCCCAACTCCTATACTCAATGCAATGACCAATGAAGGCAAGCATACCAAACGCCTTCTTCACTGTCCCATCTACCTGCGACTTCCCTTTCAAGAAACAATGAACCTTCACCTCTAGCCTGCCACAAGTTAGTTACCTGCATACAAACCCCAGTGAAAGTAACTCCTCAGCTTCCTCTGCCCTTCCCTCTCCCATGGATTTGCAGCATATTCACTGAAGGGAATGTAAAATAGAGGCTGAAAATATGCGTAGATGGCACGCACTACCACATTGAAATGACATATTAGGCCACAAGATGTAGAAGCAAAAGTAGGCCATTCAGCCTGAGTCTGCTCCTCCATTCCATGAGCTCATGGTGACCTGATAATCCTGAACTACACTTTCCTGCCTTATCCCCAAAACCCTTGTTTTCTTACTGATTAAAAATGTGTCTATCTCAGCCTTGAATATACTTAAGCACCCAGCTTCGACAGCCCTCTGCAGTATAACATTCCATAGATAAGAAATACCTCAAATCCAAATCATAGGGTTTTATTTTTGGCAGCCATTCTGTACCATCAACGTCCCATAGACATTGAGTGTTCAGTCCACCAATATTTCATGGTGTTGGTTGAGAGAACAGCAAGTTCAGTGCCACCACATGTTGATTTTAACAACTCCTCCAAGCAGCTTTGCTCCAATGCTACCGAAGCCTGGCTTTGGATAATGGGGTCAGGTCCTGGGACAAGGCCCCGCTGCCTTTCACAGAGTGTTTCAGCAGCAGTCAAGCTCAGGCTAGCTTTGTGCTCTTTCTCCTGCCTTCGTCACTGCATTCCCCCACCCAACCACATGAGGTAAATAGGAAAAGCAAAATGTCATAACTCACCTGCTCCCAGTTGCAATCAGTAACTTGTTATACTCCATCTTGAGTCCATCCTTAAAGTGAACTACCTTACTCTTCACATCCACTGAGTGTACCTGCAACAAAAGGACAGTGGAAGGTCATTTTGGCACATGGTGTTACAGAGGGAATTACAGCTTTTCTTTACAGCATGGAATGGTTCTATGGTTTCACACTTACCCCTCTGGTGGTTGCCCAATGTGAAACTTGACAGCAACTACATAGATCCCAGCATTTCAACTTATACAAAACTAAGAGTCAGGACAGGACTACTGTGATGCTACTGCAGCCCAATAGCTTGCTCATTGTCAAGGCTCAGGAGGGAAGAATGGTTGCTCAAGTGCCTATGGAGCTACAGACCAGCACCTCCAGGAACGGGATGGAAAGGGGTGGCTCATTAAGTGTATGGGTGCTTTGCTGGAGAGGTAGACTAAGAATGAGAGTTTTGAGTATTGTTAAAAATGGGGACATATTGCCAAAGCTTTTCATCTTACACCTGTCAGGACCAACGCTAGAATGCCAAATTTCAAATTATCACAACAATTTATACCACAAGAGAAAAGGGTGCTGATTAATTATCAGGTAATTTCTGATTGGCCGAGGTCTCGCCATGTAGGGAAAGCACCAATTAAAAGCAAGCAGTTTAGCTCATATCATGGCTCATGCACACATGCTCAAAGTGACACATATTCATTTGCAGGAACCCCTTCTGTACAACAACAGAAATATGCTCAAGCGTTGTGCCTTTCCTAAAAAAAGTCTGGGAACTTCAGAGCTTATAGTTCCCTGTTATTTTCTCCATGACAATGTCTCAGCCAATCAGAGTTGACATGGCAGTCTATCAACACCCTTTCCTCCTGTGTGTATGGATTTTGATGGTTTGAAACTGGACATTCTTGCATGAATCCTGATGAGTGCAAGGCGAAACCATCAGCAACAGGTTCCTCCTTTCAGCAGTACTCAAGGATGAGGGTATTTTGAGAATAGCAGGACATTTAGTTAAAGTGGTCGACGAATGCAGTTTATGAGACGGTTTTACAAGCATTATTGTTAAGAAGAAGGTGGATATGATCTTTAAGGATCAAATCAAGACAGTGATATCATGATGGCTGAAAGTATTACTAGGGATTATTAAAAGGATTTATGAAAGCGGAAGCATATTATGAAAATGGTGAAGTGTTACTGCGAATTATGATAAGGGTGGAGCATCCATGTGAGAACTGTAATGAGGCTAGAGGATATAGACGAGAATAACAATAAGGTTGAAGAAAAAGTCTGAGAATTATAGTGAGGGTGGAGGGTTTTCCTGAGAATTGTAATGAGGATGGAGGGTCTTCCTGAGAATTGTAATGAGGGTGGAGGGTCTTCCTGA